CATACCCAGGAGGAAGCCATCAAAGCATCCTGAGAAGCGGGAGCCACAGCAGGCCTCAGGGAGGAGGCAGCATCTGAACTTGGCCTAGAGGGTTCCCACAGTTGCAGGGGCTGGGGATCCTGGCCCAGGCCCAGCCCCTGTGCTCCTGAAGTGGACACTCTAGAGATGAGTGGAGGATCAACCCTGTTTCTGGTTTGGGGTGGTTTGTGTGTTTGGGGCAAGGGAATTTCTCAGGTTGCCCTTATTTCTGAAACGCACGTACTTCTGGATGTTTCTGCGTAAACCATCTGCTTTTACCAAAGCACGAGTTCCTCTCAACTCTCCATGGGGACCGGGGAGGTGGGGGTTGCAGATATCAGACAGACTTGGAGCTTCGGGGTGGCCTGTGGGTCTGGTGAATTCTGTGGTTCTCCAAGTGTGATCCTTGGCCAGTAGCACCAGCATCACCTGGACATCTATTAGAAATGCAAATTTTCGGCCGAGCACAGTGGCTCACTCTTGTAATCCCCGGACTTCGGGAGGCTGAGGCGGGTGGATCACCTGAGGTCAGGAGTTTGAAACCAGCCTGGCCAATATGATGAAACCCCGTCTGTACTAAAAATACAAAAAATTAACCAGGCGTGGTGGCAGGCGCCTGTAATCCCAGATGCTCAGGAGGCTGAGGCAGGAGAATCGCTTGAACCCGGGAGTGCGGAGGTTGCAGTGAGCTGAGATCACACCACTGCACTCCAGCCTGGCCACAAGAGCAAAACTCTGTCTCAAAAACAAAAACAACAACAACAACAACAACAACAAAAAGAAATGCAAATTTTCTGGCCCCATCTCAAACCTATTGAATCAGATACTTTTAGAGAATTGGTTCCTGTAATGTGTTTTAACAAGCCTGTGACTCTGGTTTGAGAACCACTGATAGTGATATTTACTCCAGGTGACCCAGGGAAGCGGGGCCCAGCCTGGGCTCCCCCGACCCCTGTCCACCTTTCCTGACTGCTCCGTGCTCACCTCCAAGAGGCTGAAGCTGTTCCTGACTGATGGCTCACGGGAGGACTGGGAGCTGGGATGCTGTTTGGCTAACATCCTCTCCTACAGCGAGGGGGTGAGGTCTGCAAGGGGTACCCAGGGCATTCTCTGGAATGCTACCTCCCTCCCACTTAATGTGCTAGGTGGCATATTAGTATTATTAATCCATACATTCATTCAACAACTTTTTTTGTTGATTGTCCACCGTATACAGGTTGGTTTGGCTATTGGAGATACAGAAATGACTGTGATATCACCCTAGTCCACAAGGAGTCCACGGTCCAGTGGGGACATTGGGGTGGCCACCAGGCAGTGATAGAGCAACCAGGTGCAGTGGCTTGTGCTTGTAATCCTAGCTACTTGGGAGACTGATGCACCTCCTCGGGAGGTGGGAGAATCACTTGAGACCAGGAGCTTGAGACCAGCCTGGGAAACATAGTGAGACTGTCTCAAAAAAAAAAAAAAAAAAAAAATTAGCCGGGCTTGGTGACCCGCACCAGCAGTGTTAGCTACTCAAGAGGCTGAGGAGGGAGGATCGTTCGAGCTCAGGAGCTTGAGGCTGCAGTGAGTTATAATCATGCCACTGCACTCTAGTCTGGGTATGTTATATATATATGTGTGTGTGTGTATATATATGTATAAAAATATGTGTGTATTTATGTTTATTTATTGATGTTTATTTTTTGAGATAGAGTCTCACTATTTCACCCAGGCTTGAGTACAGTGGCACAATCATGGCTCACTGCAGTCTCGAACTCCCAGGCTCAAGCGACCCTCCCACCTCAGCCTCCCAAATAGCTGGAACTACAGGCACGTGCCACCATGCCCGGCTAATTTTTAAAAATGTTTTGTAGAGATGGTGTCTCCCTATGTTGCCCAGGCTGATTTCAAACTCCAGGTTTCAAGCAATCCTCCCACCTCAGCCTCCAAAAGTGCTGAGATTACAGGCGTGAGCGACCATGCCTGACAATTTTTTTTTTTTTTTGAGACGGAGTCTCATTCTGTGGTCCAGGCTGGAGTGCAGTGGTGGGCTCCCTGCTCACTGCAACCTCCGCCTTCTGGGTTTGATCAGAACCCAGCCTCCTGAGTAGCTGGGATTACAGGTGCCCGTTACCATGCCTGGCTAATTTTTTTGTGTTTTTAGTAGAGATGGGGTTTCGCCTGTTGGCCAGGCTGGTCTGGAACTCCTGACCTCAAGTCATCTGCCCGCCTTGGCCTCCCAAAGTGCTGGGATTATAGACATGAGACACTGTGCCCAGCCCCCCACCCTTTTTTTTTTTTTTTTTTCTTTTTTTAAGTGATGGGGCCTCCCCATGTTACTCAGGCTGGTCTCAAACTCCTGAACTCAGGTAATCCTCCCACCTCAGTCTCCCAAAGTGCTGGGATTACAGGCATGAGCCACCATGCCTACCACCCCCCTCCCCAGCAAATTTTGTTTACAGTTAATATTGCAAAGGCCTCCTCTCTCTACATGCTTTCTTGTCTTTCCAATCCATGCTCCGCATTTTTGGAGATGGAGTCTCACTCTATCCTCCAGGGTGGAGTGCAGTGTTGCAATCTTGGCTCACTGCAACCTCTGCCTTCCAGGCTCATGCAATTCTCCTGCCTCAGCCTCCCGAGTAGCTGGGATTACAGGCATGCACCACCGCGCCTGGATAATTTTTGTATTTTTAGTAGAGATGAGGTTTCCACATGTCAGCCAGGCTGGTCTGGAACTCCTGACCTCAGGTGATCTGGTGATCTGCCCGCCTCGGCCTCCCAAAGTGCCAAAGTGCTGGCATTACAGGCGTGAGCCACTCTGCGCTTGGCCACTTTTTTTTTTTTTTTGAGATGAGTTGCGCTCTGTTGCCCAGGTTGGAGTGCAGTGGTGCGATCTTGGCTCACTGTAACCTCTACCTCCTGGGTTTAAGTGATTCTCCTGCCTCAGCCTCCTGAGTGGCTGGGACTATAGGCGCCGGCTGCCACGCCCGGCTAATTTTTGTATTTTTAGTAGATACGAGGTTTCACCGTGTTGGCCAGGCTGGTCTCGAGTTCCTGACCTCAAGTGATCCCACCTGCCTCAGCCTCCCAAAGTGCTGGGATTACAGGTGTGAGCCACAGCACCCAACCTAGAGTGAAATACTGAAAACCCTCTCATGACTTTCCAGGCTTCTGAGGGATGAAGTCCAACACCTTAGGCTGGACTACCAGACGCTGCATAGTCTGGTCCTGCTGACTTTGGCAGGATTTCTCTCATCACTGGCCCTGTAACACTTCAACGGACTGCAGTAATGATGCTTCATAGAAGATGCTGTGTTCTCTTGTACCTGCATGTGGTAACTGCGTACCTACTGCTCTCTGCTTAGAATTCCCTTTGCTGCTTGTTTGGCGAACTTCCACTCATCTTTCATGGCTCAGTTCCAATACCATCACCTCTGGGAACCATCTCCTGCCTGCCCAGGAGGACTGGGACCTCCATTTCCTGTCCTCTTTTCCTTGAACCTGTATTTCTTTTTTGAGACAGAGTCTCGCTCTGTCACCCAGGCTGAAGTGCAGTGGTGATTTTGGCTCACTGCAACCTCTGCCTTCCAGGTTCAAGCAGTTCTCCCTGCCTCCGCCTCCCTAGTAGCTGGGATTACAGGCACACACCACCACGCCCGGTTAATTTTTGTATTTTTAGTAGAGATGGGGTTTCACTATGTTGGGCAGTCTGGTCTTGAACTTCTGACTTAGGTGATCCGCTTGCCTCAGCCTCCCAAAGTGCTGGGATTACAGGCGTGAGCCACCGCAGAGTCTTAAAAGGTTGGGTTACAATGAGGATTAGGAAATCTGTCAATTATTCGACAGAGAGACAATGAATGGACCAAAGAATAGGGGAGCTCCCTGACATTACAGAACAAATTCAGTATGCAGTATACTGTGAAAGTGAGGCAGAAAAGCAGGTTTTGTTTGCGAGTTTGACTTTAGGATTGCAGGTGAAAAACTTGTGTGACCCTGGAGGTGTGTGGCTAAGGTGCTGCGGGGTCACCGGAGAAAGGTCAAGGGACTGTGGCCCAGTTGGCTCGGAGGTTGTTCAGGTCTCCCAGATTCCAGGGCGGCATTATGAGCCACGTGACAGACCTCCCCTGACTGGCTGACAGCGAAGCATAATTGAGAAGATGGCGGACCAGCAAGGACCTCATCAGAATAGGTCTGTACACAGAGCGGCATGGAGAGTGCAGGAGGGTAGTAGGCCGGGCGGGCGCGGTGGCTCACACCTGTAATCCTAGCACTTTGGAAAGCCGAGGCGGGCGGATCATGAGGTCAGGAGATCGAGACCATCCCGCCTAACATGGTGAAACCCCGTCTCTACTAAAAATACAAAAAAAAAAAAAAAAAAAAAACCCGGGCGTGGCGGGCGCCTGTAGTCCCAGGTACTCGGGAGGCTGAGGCAGGAGAGTGGCGTGAACCTGGGAGGCGGAGGTTGCAGTGAGCCGAGATCGCGCCACTGCACCCCAGCCTGGGCGACAGAGAGACTCCGTCTCAAAAAAAAAAAAAAAAAAAAACAGAGTGCAGGAGGGTAGTGAAGCGCAAGGGGAATGCCGACCCTTTTTCCTGTTGGGCCCAAGACAGAGGCGATGTGGGCAGGGGAGAGAGGCCGGGGAATGCGCAGAAGCCGATTCCATCTCTGCACTAACAGTGGACTAGGGGCAGGGCTGGATTTTCGGAGGCAGTGTGCAGCTCCCAATAACGTGTTCCGTGGGTCCCCTGTGAGCCTAGTTTCCTGGTGGGTACCAAGGGGAGCGCGTCGGAACCGTACGCTCCTTTGAGTGAGGGGAATCTGGGAGGACCCAAGGCAGGGGAAACAGGGCCGAGCGGGAAAGCCCTTGAATTGGGGGCGAGACCAGGCCAGGCCTGCTGGACTGGTCGCACGTCTCCTTGGTGACGGGACGCTTGGCCCGGAAGTGGGCGGTGCTTCTGGCGGGGCGGGGCATCTCTGTGACGCTAGGGGCTGGGCCTCGATGGCGAAGCCCAAGCAGCTCCCGGGGGGGTTTGAACTGGCCAATGGGCGAGCTGCCGACCGGGTGTCGGAAAAGGAGGCGGAAGCCGGGAGGAGCCGCCGCCAGAGCCAGACTGCATCCGCCGCGGCGTCTCCATGGCACGACCCTGGCCTCCGACTTCAACGACTTCATAAGGCGGCGTTTCTGGGCTCAGCCGTGTCGCTCCTGGTGAGAGGCCGCCGGCAGGCGGGATCCAGCGCGCTCCGGGGCACCGCGGGCGAGACCGTCGCCTTCGTACCCCCGGCGCTGTCGGCCCCGCGGGGCCGTCGGGTCCTGCGTTCCCCGCCGCGTCGCGCTCGTCCCCCTCCTGTCAGAACCTGGGCCCCCGCCACGCCCACCGGCACGGGACCTCTCCTCCTCCCGCTAACGGGCGGCCGGCCGCCTCCTTCCTCTCCTGGCTACCGCGGGGCTCTGCCCCTCTTCTGCCGCCCGCGGGCAGGGCTTCACCTTTCTCTCTATGGGCAGAAACCGGTATCCTCCTGCCTGCTGGTGGGTGGCCGTCCCTTCTCTCCGCCGACAGAGGCTGTCCCTCGCTCTGCTGCCCGCCGGCGGCCTCGCCCCGACTGCCTCGTCCTCTCCGCGGGCCTCCACACGGCAGTCACTTGCCGGCCCTCCGTAGGCAGCGCTGTCCCCCCGGGCACCGTCTCCGGGTCGCCAGGGCCCTCGCCCGCGGGGGTCCCGCCCGCCCCCTCCCAGCCCGATGTCTAACCTGCTTAGAACTCGGTTGTTCGGTTTTCCCTCGCGGCGGGGCGCCCGGGCTCCGCGCCTCCCTCTTTCAAACACTATTGGTCCTCTCGGGCACCTGTTCTTCCGGGAACGCCCCTTCTCCTAGGAGACAGTTGTCCGACCCCGCCCCAGCATCCCCGCTGCTCCCTGCACGGTTCCGGCCCTCTGGGGCCCACTTGGGGCCGAGCGGTTCTCACTTGCCCTCTCCGCACGTCCGCCGGCGCCTCAGGTTTCCCCCGGTAGCCACCGGCCGTCCTCCGCGTGGGGCCCGGGCGCGGTGGTACTTTTCCCTCGCCGTTCTGCCCCGTCCCCTCCCCTTCCTCCCCTCTGCCCCCAGGTCGCTCAGCCTCTCCTATCTCCCCCTACTTTGGCAGGACAGTTGCTGTGCGACTTGGACAGTAGAGGAGCGCCTCCCAAGTTTTCATCCAACTGCCAACCCCAAAGCTTCCACCCTTCTCCCCTCAGAGAGGACGTTTGATGCCGGGCCCCTTGAGAGGCTCATTGACAAGCCCGCCCCTCTGGGTCCCCCTGAGCAGAGCCTGCTGACCCAATTGCCCACCTTTGCGGCTTTGATGCCTAGCCATGTCTGCCTCATCCTCAGGCGGCTCCCCCAGGTACTGCCGATGTGGGAGGCGCCTGCGCCCGAGGGCAGGGAAAGGTGGCCAGGGGTCCCCAGGGCAGGCTCGCCTGAGGCTTCCAGCTTCCTCATTGTGTTTGCTGAAAGTCTGGACCAAAACATTTAAAAATCATTTTTAAAGGGAAGGGGGAACGAAATGTATACACAATCTCAGCTCTACCTCCCTGGCTCCTTCCCAGCTCTACCTCCCTGGCTCCTTCCCTCCCCAAATGTCACAGCTTCCTGGAAGCAAACAGGGTCACTCTTGTTGTCTTCATAGAGTACTAGGTTCAGAGCCTTTTTGAAGGGAGTTGAGGTGTAAATAACATGTCGGAGGTGGATGTGGCAGTTAGCAAGATGATGGAATCCAGGTGGTTTGACAGGAAACCCACTGAGAGATTTCCCAAAACTGTTGGCTTTATGTGAACAATGTTCTGAATGATTAGGGAAAAAAGCCTGTCTTCTCAGTTTTGGTATTCCTTGGCTAAAGGATCAGTAGAGCGCTCTCTCTGTCTCTCTCTCTCTCTATATATATACATATTCCCTCTTTTTTTTTTTTTTTTTGAGACAAGAGTCTCGCTCTGTCGCCCAGGCTGGAGTGCAGTGGCTGGATCTCAGTTCACTGCAAGCTCCGCCTCCCAGGTTTATGCCATTCTCCTGCCTCAGCCTCCCGAGTAGCTGGACTACAGGCGCCCGCCACCTCGCCCGGCTAGTTTTTTTGTATTTTTTAGTAGAGACGAGGTTTCACCGTGTTAGCCAGGATGGTCTCGATCTCCTGACCTGGAGATCCGCCCGTCTCGGCCTCCCAAAGTACTGGGATTACAGGCTTGAGCCACCACGCCTGGCCATTGCCTCTTTTTAAAATCAGGATGTAATACACATACAGCAAAACGCATACTACAGTGCTCAAGTATTTTTTCCTTGCATTTTGATATTGCATTATTTTCCTCAAGTACTTGTAGAGAGGGCAGGATGATAATTTGGGACCGCCCCGTCTCTGCCCCACCCTCCCCGCCACCCCCTGGTTGCTCAGCCTCTCTGATCTCTCCCCACTTTGGGGGCCAGGTGCGGTGGCTCATGCCTGTGCAATCCTAGCACTTTGAGAGGCCTAGGTGGGCGAATCACCTGAAGTCAGGAGTTCAAGACCTGACCAACATGGTGAAACCCCGTCTCTACTAGAAATATAAAAAATTTGCTGGGCATGGTGGCACACGCCTGTAATCCCAGCTACTTAGGAGGCTGGGGCAGGAGAACTGGAAAATTGCTTGAACCTGGGAGGCGGAGCTTGCAGTGAGCAAAGATTGGGCCACCGCACTCCATCCTGGGCGACAGAGTGAGACTCCATCTCAAAACAAAAACAAAAACAAAAAGGGCAGTGAGATGGATCAGATGGTAATTCCAAGTCCTGGAGTTCTTGGATGTACTGCTGAAAGATTTTTGGAGCAAATTAAACTTTTAAACTTTTGCTCTCTCTGTTTTTTTTTTTTTTTTTCTGTCTTTGCAGATCTGTTGATGGGGCTGTACAGTATATGTGTAAGCAATGTGAATTACACATGGCATTAAAAAAAAAATCCCCTGCTGCTTAGGAGCTTAAAGGATAGGAAGTGGAATATTTTGGGAAACAGATGCTTTTTTATTCTCTTAGGGGACTATTTGAGCCTTAATTTGATGAGTGTGCGTTACAGTGACTTCTCGTGCCTGAGCCTAATGCTTTTTGAAAAAAATTCTTTTTCTTTTTTGTTGTTGTTTTGAAACAGGATCTCCCTCTGCCACCTAGGCTGGAGTGCAGTGGCGCGGTCGTGGCTTACTGCAGCTTCCACCTCCCAGGCTTAAGTGATTCTCCCACCTCAGCCTCCCAAGTAGCTGGGACTATAGACACGTGCCACCACGCCCAGCTAATTTTTGTATGTTTTGTAGAGATGGGGTCTTGCCATGTTGCCCAGGCTGGTCTCAAACTCCTGGGCTCAAGCAATCTGCCTGCCTTGGCCTCCAAAAGTGTTGGAATTACAGGCATGAGCCGTGGCTTGTGGCCACTAATGCTCTATTTTTGTCATTCACTCACTCCATCTTTCTCCAGGGCCGCTTCTGCTCCAGGTACTGTCCTGGGTGCTTCTACCCTCAGCCAAACCAGCACCTTGGCTGTGTTCATGTGCTGCTTGCTTTTTGTCATCTGACAGGCTGTCAGCCTGGCTTTTCAGTAAGGGTCATAATACATGTGATGTGACGATATGTTACAAGTCCAGCCTGCAAATGCCCATCACCCTATTTCCATCCCACTGCTGGGCTCTCACGCACATCTGGTGCTCATCTCAGGGGAGTCAAGGAATTCCACGCTGGTTTTCCTAGCCTTGAACATGTTAGCTACCATAGTCAGTGTACAATTTCATGAAATCTAAAACATAAGAGAGCCCTAGTTTTCTGCTTACAATCTGGTTCTTGTGCCTGGGTGCAGGTTTCCATCGTGTGGGAAGAACGGAGTAACGAGTCTCACGCAGAAAAAGGTCTTGAGAGCACCTTGTGGCGCACCCAGTGTAACTGTAACGGTAGGTGATGCACTCACGTAGCAGCCCTCTTTGGTCACCCTGCTAAAAATGCTTCTGCACACCATTTCCAGGAGATGCCTTACCCTGCTGGGCACCATCGTCTCCCAGTTGCTCTGCTAGGTGCAGTTATGCATAGTCTGCTGATTTTTAATTATGATCATTTTTGTCTGTGGTAAGGCTGCCGGGTGTGAGGAAATTGTCTTAGACGTATTCTTCCAGCCAAATCCTAAAATCTTGAGATTTTTAAAATAAAGAAAGGAAAAGAAAAAGACGAGAAAAAAAAAGTTTAAAGAATGGGGGGAAGGATAAGAGCTGGTGGTGGTTGAGGGGTTTGTAGTTGCGGTTCTGCCTTGCTCATGTTTTCTTTAGAATCTAGACAACCTTCTCATCCTTAGGATTTCCTCCAGCTTTCTGTTTTCATGGTCTTTGGTCTGCCTGCTGTCTGATTTATTCTGCACCCTGAGCATTTTGTGTGTTTCCCACGCCAATCTGCATGCCCACTTGAGATCACTGTGTAGAAGGATCCACCTGCTTTCCGCTGTGCTTCACTAAATCCAAGGAGGAGCTGTGCATTCCAGCAGGTTTAGAGGAGATCCAGCCCTGAGGACCCTGGGGCCTGCGTCTGGGATCTGTTCTAGAACGAGTGGGTCTTGCAGACCCTCTCTTGAGTGGACCAGAATCTCCCTGGTGGTCTGCTGGAATCTCTGCAGGAACCTGCTGAATGATACTCCCGCCTTGCTGCCTGCCTGCATGCCAGTAGTTGGTAGCTGTCCTGCTCGCTTGCTGGCTAGGCTTTTTGGTGGCCCCCAGAGGCTGTGAGCTCCGTTTTTATGCCCAGTTTACTCATCCACAGATCAACCATTTTTGTGTTGTCCTCCCCCACCTGCCAGAAGCCAACCATGAAGGACCGCTCTTCAACTCCCCCCTTACATGTTCACGTGGATGAGAACACCCCTGTCCACGTCCACATAAAAAAACTCCCGAAACCATCAGCGACCAGCAGCCAGGTAGGAGCATGCCAGTGGGGTGAGGTAGCAGCTGCGGATCTGGGTGATCCTGCTAAGCCCAGCCTCCTCGCACTGTGACTCCAAAGGTTTGGGAGACAAACACACTCTTTCGGAGGCCGGTTTCCTGGTTAGAAGGTAGGCAGGCCTGTCATCCAGGAGCAGCAGCAGTAACATTAGTCAGAAGAGGAACTCTGCCAGTTGGAGAGGGATGTCACTAGCATGGCACCATGGCCAGCTGGGTGTGGCAGTGACCCTGGATTTGTCCCTTTCCACAGAAATCTCACAAGCGAGGAATGAAAGGGGACACTGTGAATGTGCGGCGGAGTGTCCGGGTGAAAACCAAGGTACCTTGGATGCCCCCTGGAAAATCATCTGCCCGGCCCGTGGGATGCAAGTGGGAGGTAGGCTCACCCTTGCCCAGGCTTTTCTTCTCGGACTGCTCAGATCCTAGCAGGCCTCAGCCTCGGTATGATTCAGGGTCAGCTGTAGCTACTGGAATGTCCTAGCAGACCCCATTTACTGAGGGCCTTGCTAAACCCTGAAACTGTGTGAATAATCTTCTTGAGTTCTTATGACACTGCTGTGTGGGAAGTCCTGCGGTCCCAGTGCAGAGATGAGGAACCAGGCCTCAGAGAGCAGTGATTTTCCCAGAGTCACAGAGAAGGTAGCAGAGCTGGAGTTAAGATTCTTTCTAGAGGCAGTGCTCTTAGCCTCTCTGCTTTGCATGTGAGGAGCCACATCACATGTCATGTCTTGTCTTGTCTTTTCTTTTCTTTTCTTTCTTTCTTTCTTTTTTTTTTTTTTTTCGAGACAGAGCCTTGCTCTGTTGCCGAGGCTGGAATGCAGTGGCATGATCTTGGCTCACTGCAACCTCCGCCTCCCAGGTTCAAGTGATTCTCCTGCCTCAGCCTCCCGAGTAGCTGGGACTACAGGCACCTACCACCACGCCCGGCTAATTTTTTTTTTTTTTTTTTTTTTTTTGAGACGGAGTCTCGCTCTGTCACCCAGGCTGGAGTGCAGTGGCCGGATCTCAGCTCACTGCAAGCTCCGCCTCCCGGGTTCACGCCATTCTCCTGCCTCAGCCTCCCGAGTAGCTGGGACTATAGGCGCCCGCCACCTCGCCCGGCTAGTTTTTTGTATTTTTTAGTAGAGACGGGGTTTCACCATGTTAGCCAGGATGGTCTCGATCTCCTGACCTCGTGATCCGCCCGTCTCGGCCTCCCAAAGTGCTGGGATTACAGGCGTGAGCCACCGCGCCCGGCCTGATTTTTTTTTTTGTAGTAGAGACAGGTTTTCACTGTGTTAGCCAGGATGGTCTCATCTCCTGACCTCATGATCTGCCCGCCTCAGCCTCCCAAGTGCTGGGATTACAAGTACAGGGATTTTTTGTAGATTTTTTGCTATAGCGTCGTTTGTAACAGAAAAATTGGAAGCAACCTAAATGTCCATCAGGAGAGTGTTGGTTAAATTATAATACATCCAGGCCGGGCGCGGTGGCTCAAGCCTGTAATCCCAGCACTTTGGGAGGCCGAGACGGGCGGATCACGAGGTCAGGAGATCGAGACCATCCTGGCTAATACGGTGAAACCCCGTCTCTACTAAAAATACAAAAAACTAGCCAGGCGAGGTGGCGGGCGCCTGTGGTCCCAGCTACTCGGGAGGCTGAGGCAGGAGAATGGCGGGAACCCGGGAGGCGGAGCTTGCAGTGAGCTGAGATCCGGCCACTGCACTCCAGCCTGGGCGACAGAGCCAGACTCCGTCTCAAAAAAAAAAAAAAAAAAATTATAATACATCCGACTGGGTGTGGTGGGCTCACGCCTGTAATCCCAACACTTTTAGGAGGCCCAGGAGGGAGGATCGCTTGGGCCCAGGAGTTTTGAGATCAGCCTGGGCAACATAGTGAGATCCTATCTCTACAAAAAATAAAAAAATTAGTTGGGCGTGGTGGCATGCACTTATAGTTCCAGCTACTCAGAAGGCTGAGGTGGGAGGATCGCTTAACTGGAGGTTAAGGTTCCAGTGAGCCATGATCATGCCACTGCATAGCCTGTGTGACACAGTGAGACCCTGTCTCAAACAAAAGAGAAATATGATACATCCATACAATGGAATACCATGCAGCCGTGCAAAGACTGAGGTAGAGGCTGGTTGCCGTGGCTTATACCTGTGATCTCAGCACTTTGGGAGGCCAGGGCAGGAGATCACTTGAGCCTAGGAGTTCAAGACCAGCCTGGGCAACACGACGAGATTCTGCCTCTACAAAAGATAAAAAATTAGCTGAGTGTGGTGGCACGCACCTGTAGTCCTCCTAGTTAACTTGGGGTGGGGAGGCTGAGACTTCAGTATGCTGTGATTATGCCACTGCACTGCAGCCTGGGTTACAGAACAGGACCCTGTCTCAGGAACAAAAAAGATTGAGACAGGTATTTATGCATGATAATGAAGCATGGAGATGCACAACATATAACATTTGGCCGGCCTTATTTGTGAAGAAAAGGGGCGTCTGTGTCCATGTATAAACACATATGTTTATATGTACAGAACGTTTTCTGGGAGAATATGCAAGTAGTGGTAAGCAGTGATTGCCTCTGAGGTATGGCAAGGTTTAATACTTTGTTTTATTTATTTATTTACTTTTTGAGACAGAGTCTCATTTTGTCACCCAGGCTGGAGTGCAGTGGCGTGATCTCTACCTCCTGGGTACAAGCGATTCTCCTGCCTCAGCCTCCCGAGTTGTTGGGATTACAGACATGCATCACCACACCTGGCTAATTTTTGTATTTTTAGTAGAGACAGGGTTTTGCTATGTTGGCCAGGCTGGTCTCGAACTCCTGACCTCAAGTAACCTGCCCACCTTAGCCTCCCAGAGTGCTGGGATTACAGGCGTGAGCCACCACCACGCACAGCCAAAAATGCCTTCTTTTTTTTTTTGAGACAGAGCCTTGCTCTGTCTTCCAGTCTGGTGTGCAGTGGCACAAACTCGGCTCACTGCAACCTCTACTTCCCAGGTTCAAGCGATTCTTCTGCCTCAGCCTCCTGAGTAACTGGACTACAGGTGTGCGCCACCACGCCCGCTAATTTTTCTTTCTCTTTTTTTTTTTTTTTTTCTGAGACAGAGTCTCGCTTTGTCGCCCAGGCTGGAGTGCAGTGGTGTGATCTCGGCTCACTACAAGCTCCATCTCCCAGGTTCACGGCCATTCTCCTGCCTCAGCCTTCTGAGTAGCTGGGACTACAGGTGCCCGCCACCACACCAGGCTAATTTTTTGTATTTTTAGTAGAGATGGGGTTTCACCATGTTAGCCAGGATGGTCTCGATCTCCTGACCCGGTGATCCGCCTGCCTCGGCCTCCCAAAGTGCTGGGATTACAGGCGTGAGCCATTGCGCCCGGCCCAAAAATGCCTTTTAAAAAAGTAAAAAGCCTTGGTAGTTTTTGTTTCTGTTTTTGTTTTTTGAGACAGAGTATTGTTCTGTTGCCCAGGCTAGAGTGCAGTGACATGATCTTGGCTCACTGCAACCTCCATCTCCCGGGTTCAAGTGATTCTCCTGCCTCAGCCTCCTGAAGTTAGCTGGGACTCAGGCATGCACTACCACACCCAGCTAGTTTTTGTATTTTTTGTAGAGATGGGGTTTCACCATGTTTGCCAGGCTGGTCTTGAACTCCTGATGTCAAGTGATCTGCTCGCCTTGGCCTCCTAAAGTGCTGGGATTATAGGCGTGAGCCACTGTGCCTGGCCTCCTTGGTAGTTTTCAAAGTACACATCACAGAGATGCTGCTATGAAAAATTTTCCTGTTGACGTGGATTGCTGGGGTAATAATCCCCTCTGGAAAGCATAATGCCACTTCCAGCCCCAAATCCTAGAGATGGAAGGTCCCAGAGAGGTGGCCTGCCCAGGTTCTCTCGGCAGCTGAAACAGTAGCTGTCTTTTCTGCTTTCATTCTTGGGTCTGTCTGCCCCTTTCTATTTTCAAGTGGCTTCCTGTGACCCTGAGAGGCCCTAACTCAACCCTGTCCATCATGGACGGAAGGTGAACAGCCCCTGGAGGTGGAAGTTTGGGGAAGATATGGAAATGAAGACCAAAAGCTGCTGTATGCATGTGGGGTTCTTGTTTGATATCTTACAACTCTTGGAATATAAGATCATCTTTGGAAGAAAGAAGGTCTAGGTTTTTTTCTTGCCTCTGTTACTAAAAGTGATCAGCCGGGCGTGATGGCTCACATTTGTAATCCCAGCACTGTGGGAGGCCAAGGCAGGCAAATCATGAGGTCAAGAGACTGAGACCATCCTGGCCAACATGGTGAAACCCCATCTCAACTAAAAATACAAAAAGTAGCTGGGCATGGTGGCATGTGCCTGTAGTCCCAGCCACTTGGGAGGCTGAGGCAGGAGAACTGCTTGAACTCTTTAGGCAGAGGTTACACTGAGCTGAGATTGCGCCACTGCACTCCAGCCTGGCAACAGAGCGAGACTCCATCTCAAAAAAAAAAAAAAGTTCTACTCAAATCTGGCTGCTGTTAAGTTTCAAAAACTTCTTGTTGAAAAGTACAGGCCTGGGAGCAATGGTCACTCCTGTAATCCCAGCACTTTGGGAGGCCGAGGCAGGCAGATCACCTGAGGTCAGGAGTTCGAGACCAGCCTAGGCAACATGGCGAAACCCCGTCTCTACTAAAAATACAAAATTTACCCTCGCGTGGTGGTCAGCGCCACTAATCCCAGCTGCACAGAAGGCTGAGGCAGGAGAATCGCTTGAGCCTATGAGCGGAGGTTGCAGGGAGCCAGGATCACGCCCCTGCACTGTAGCCTGGGCAACAAAGTGAGTCTCCATCTCAAAAAAAAAAAGGAAAAATGAAAAGGGATGGGCCGGGCCTGGTGTCTCACACCTGTAATCCCAGCACTTTGGGAGGCTGAGGCAGGTGGTTCACCTGAGCTCAGGAGTTGGAGACCAGCTTAGACAATGTGATGAACCATACGTCTACCAAAAATACAAAAAATGAGTCTGGTGTGGTGGTGTGCGCCTGTGGTCCCAGCTACTTGGGAGGCTGAGGTGTAAGGATCGCTTGATCCTGGGAGGCGGAGGTTGCAGTGAACCAAAATTGTGCTACTGCACTCCAGGCTGGTTGACAGAGTGAGACCCCATCTCAAAAAAAAAAAAAAAATGGAAAAGTGCAGGGACGTACACCCATCAGAAGTGTATTGCTCCATGAATTTTCACAAACTGAAGTTACCTGTGTAATGATCACCCAGCATCCTAGAAGCTGCCCCTGGCTTTTATCTATGTCACTGCCTCCCAATCACAAGGAGTAACTAGTCACACTGTCTCCTATATATATATTTTTGTCATTTTAAAAAATAAATAGTCATGTATCAATTAACAATGGGGATATATTCTGAGAACATGTTGTTAGGCACTTTCATCATTGTGCAAACATCATAGAGTGTACTTACACAAACTGAGATTGCTAGAGCCTGCTCCACACCTGGGCTGTGTGTGTAGCCTATTGCTCCTAGGCTGCAGACCTCTGCAGCATGATGCCATACAGAATACTGTAGGCAACTGTAACACAATGGTAAGTATTTACATATTGAAACATAGTAAATATAGAAAAAGGTACGGTAAAAATACGGTGTTTGGGACCACTGTCATATATGGTAAAAATACGGTATTTTGGGATCACTGTCATATATGCAGTCCATTGCTGACTGAAATGTTACGTGGCACATGACTGTTTATACATTTCCTATTTTTGTCCTTTTAAGTATTAAAGTAACTTCTTTCTTTTTTTTTTTTTTTTTTTTTTTTTTGAACGAGTTGGCTTGTCCCAGTGGAGTGCATGGCCTCTTGGCTCACGCACTCGTCCGGTACGCCTTCCCTGCTCAGCCTCGAGTATGGCTACAGCGCCCCCACTCGCCCGAGTTTTGTATAAGTAGACGGGTTTCCCGTGTAGCCAGGTGGTCTCGATCCTACCTCGTGATCGCCCCCGGCTCCAAGCTGGATTACGTTGAGCCACCGCCGCCGATTCTTTTTCTAAAAATATTATATAGCTGGTGGTGGCTAGAATCCAGCACTTTGGGAGGCCGAGGTGGCTTATCAGGCGTTCAAGACCAGCCTGGCCAACATGGTGAACCCAACCTCTACTAAAAATACAAAAATTATCTGGGTATGGTGGTGGGCACCTGTAATCCCAGCCACTTGGAGGCTGAGGCAGAGAATCACTTGATGAACCCAGGAGGCAGAGTTTGCAGTGAGCCAAGATTGTGCCATTGCACTCTAGCCTGGGCAACAAGAGCAAAACTCTGTCTCCAAAAAAAAAAAAAAAGGCAAAAAAAAAAAAGCAATATATGGCCAGGCACGGTGGCTCCTCCTGTAATCCCAGCACTTTGAGAGACTGAAACAGGCAGATCACTGAGGTCAGGAGTTCGAGAACAGCCTGGCCAACATGGTGAAACCCCATCTCTACTAAAAATACAAAATCAGCTGGGCATGGTGGAAGGCACCTGTAATCCAGCTAGTCGGGAGGCTGAGGCAGGAGAATCGCTTGAACCTGGGAGGCGGAGGTTGCAGTGAGCCGAGATCGCATCACTGTACTCCAGCCTAGGCGATGGAGTGAGACCCTGTCTCAAAAAAAAAAAAAAAAAAAGTGTTTACAGCTTTGTATAAAGTTTCCTGAAGCATACATGCATTTAAAAATATTTTTAAAAATATTTAAAAAGCTGGGACTACAGGTGCCTGCTACCATGCGCAGCTCGGGCGTCATCCGCCCGCCTCAGCCTCCCAAAGTGCTGGGATTACAGGTGTGCACTGTGCCTGGCCCCTAAAATATTTTTTTAATTTTTTTTTTATTTTTTTTTTTCTTGAGATGGAGTCTCGCTCTGTTGCCAGGCTGGAGTGCAGTGGTGCAATCTTGGCTCACTGCAACCTCCGCCTCCCAGGTTCAAGCGATTCTCCTGCCTCAGCCTTCCAAGTAGCTGGGATTACAGGTGCGCGCCACCACGCCCAGCTAATTTTTGTATTTTTAGTAGAGATGGGGTTTCACCATGTTGGCCAGGATGGTCTCGATCTCTTGACCTCCTGATCCACCCGCCTCGGCCTCCCAAAGCTAAAATATTTTTTATACTGACGTATTTAAAAAGTATTTTCCAGGTATTGTACCATGTGCATTTATAATATTTTCTATATCATCAAAATAACAATGATTACTCCTAAGAGCATTTCTGATATCATACAATATCTGGTCCTTTTTTCAAATTACCCACTTGTTTCTAAAATACCTTTTCAGCAGATTAATGTACCTTTGTAACTAATCCACTATCAGGTATTCATATTCATTTAAAAGACTTTTGACATATTTCATTTCTATTCTAGGTATAAAAAAAAGTATTGCCCTAAACTTTTGCCAACTTTGGGTATTAATATTTTTGCTGATTTGTTATATCATTTCTTTATTAGTCTTGTCATTGTTAGAGACAGGGTTTCTCTCCTTCACCCAGGCTGGCATGCCAGTGTTGCTATCATAGCTCACTGCAGTCTTGAACTCCTGGACTCAAGGAATCCCCTGCCTCAGCCTCCTGAGTAGTTGGGACACAGGCATGCACCACTACACCCACCTGATTTTTTTTTTTTGAGATGGAGTTTCGTTCTTGTTTGCCCAGGTTGGAGTGCAATGGCGCGATCTCGGTTCACTGCAACCTCCACCTCCCGGTTTCAAGCGATTCTCCAGCCTCAGCCTCCTGAGTAGCTGAGATTACAGGCATGCACCACCCATGTCCGGGCTAATTTTGTATTTTAGTAGAGACGGGGTTTCACCATGTTGGTCAGGCTGGTCTCGAACTCCTGACCTCTGGTCATCCACCCGCCTTGGCCTCCCCAAAGCGCTGGGATTGCAGGTGTGAGCCACTGTGCCCAGCGCCAGCTAATGGTTTTTACTTTTGTAGAGACAAGTTCTCGCTATGTTGCTGAGGCTGGTTTTGGCTTCCCGCCTTGGCCTACCAAATACTGACTTTACAGGATATCCAGCCTATGTTCTTTATTTTAAACATAACATTGTAACCCAACTTTTAATTTTGATGTTGGGAATTCTCCAACACCATCATTTAAACATGGATAGGTGATGTTCCATCACGAGGGTTCAGAGTATGGTTCTTCCTGGGGCCCCCAAGTTAGCTGTTACAGCTTTTCCCGTCTAAACAGTAAATAAGCCTCCAGTGGTGGAACTCATGGGTCAGGTTCTGCCCTCTGAGTTCATTTGTTTCTCCCTCTTCTACATCAGAATCCACCTCATTGCCTGGAGATCACGCCACCATCTTCAGAAAAGCTGGTCTCAGTGATGCGTTAAGTGACCTTCTACAGAAGATGATGACTCAGGTCACTGTAAAATGAACCGTTATGATAAGAAGATTGATAGTCTAATGAATGCGGTTGGTTGTCTGAAGTCTGAGGTGAGGGAGGTAGGGGGCTGGGACAGCTAGTACCCTGAGGATGTGCAGGAGCACCCAGGTGGATTTCCTGCCTGTCCCTCAGCCTGCCTCTGCAGGCCTTCTGATCTCCCTCTGCAGGGTTGTCCCTGGGCTTCAGGTGCCTGCCCGGGGAGGTAGCTGGGGCAGCATGGGATCCCATCCCACCAACAAGGGCCCTCTCTATTGAGCATGTAGCTGTCCTGTAGCGCCCGGCCTGATCTGACTTTTTAAAAACAGCATGTGAAGCCATGGTGGTATTGTCTTCATTATAGAGATGAAACACCTGGGAAACTAGGGGCCTATGCCTTCCACTTATATAAAGTTTAACAAAAAACAGGCTGGGCGTGGTGGCTCACGCCTGTAATCCCAGCACTTTGGGTGGCTGAGGCAGGTGGATCACCTGAGGTCAGGAATTCAAGACCAGCCTGACCCAACATGGTGAAACCCCATCTCTACTAAAAATACAAACAAAACTTAGCGGGCATGGTGGCGTGTGCCTGTAATCTCAGCTACTCAGGAGGCTGAGGTGGTAGAATCGCTCGAACCCAGAAGCCAGATTGCAGTGAGCCAAGACGCACAATTGCACTTAAGCCTGGGCAACAGAGACTCTGTCTCAAAAAAAAAAAAAAAAAAAAAAAATTAACAAAAAACAAAGCCCAAAGAGGCCAAGGAAGTGTGTCCTCAGTTGCTGTGCTGTCTCTTGGGGTGGGATGTGGCAATGAAATTGGAAATAGAACCTGGAAGTCCAAGGTCCCCAACTAGGAAGTTTGCAGAGTTGTCATTAAAATCCAGGCCTTGGGCTTTGGATTGCTGTCTCAACATATGTCTTCACTGCTAACACAACCTGTGTCTTTAATCCTCCACCCGGTACTTGAGGTCCAGAAAACCTGGAGAACCTAGGGCAGGCTGCCTGGCAATAGGCCCTTCTTGGCCGGGTGCGGTGGCTCACGCCTATAATCCCAGCACTTTGGAAGACTGAGGAGGGCAGATCACTTGAGGTTAGGAGTTCAAGACCAGCCTGGCCAACATGGTGAAACCCGTCTCTACTAAAAATATACAGAAATTTGCTGGGCATGTTGGCACACCGCCAGTAATCCTAGCTACTTGGGAGGCTAAGGCACGAGAATCTGTTGAACCTGGGAGGCGGAGGTTGCAGTGAGCTGAGATCGTGCCACTGCACTCCAGCCTGGATGACAAGAGCGAGACCCTATCTCAAAAGAAAAAACAAAAAAGCCCGTCTTCCCCTTATAACTCAAAGTGCAGGAGCCTTGTTGTGATGTCTCTCCTCCTATGGTGTGCCAGCCAAACCACGGTTTGCAACCTGGCTTCGTTCCCAACCCACAAGTCACTGGGGCTCTCTCTACTGAGCTTCCTTGGCTACAAAAAGAGAATTCAGCATTGCAGCCACTTTGAGGCATTTCCATTGAGGGCATTTGGAAGCTATGGAAAGGATTTATTTTAGTTAATTTATTTAGCCAGGCGCGGTGGCTCACGCCTGTAATCCCAGCCCTTTGGGAGGCCAAGGCAGGAGAATCCCAGGAGAGTCAGTCTTCATGTCAGTTAACTGAGATTGCACCCATAAGGCCCTGGCACGCAGCCTGTGTAGTTCTCAATTGGAGGGCCCCTTATTTAATTAATTAATTAATTTATTTATTTAATTTATTTTTGAGAGGGAGTCTCGCTCTTGTCGCCCAGGCTGGAGTGCAGTGGGCACGATCTCGGCTCACTGCAACCTCTGGCTCCCAGGTTCAGGTGATTCCATCCTGCCTCAGCTTCCAGAGTAGCTGGGATCATAGGCACGCGCCACCACATCTGGCTAATTTTTAGTAGAGACAGGGTTTCACCATGTTGCTCGGGCTGGTCTTGAACTCCTGACCTCAAGTGATCCACCCACCTTGGCCTCCCAAAGTGCTGGGATTACAGGCGTGAGCTACCATGCCCGGCCAGGGCCTTATTTTCGTCCAGTGCATTAAGCTTAGCAATGTGGCATAGAGGAAGGACCTCCCCTCAGTGGCTCCTGCCTGGTCCCCCTGCACAGGTCAAAATGCAGAAGGGTGAGCGCCAGATGGCCAAAAGGTTCCTGGAGGAGCGGAAGGAAGAGCTGGAGGAGGTGGCCCATGAACTGGCCGAGACTGAACATGAGAACACGGTGCTGAGGCACAACATCGAGCGCATGAAGGAGGAGAAGGACTACACCATGTAAGGCGGCGCCTGCCCTGCCCCCGCTGATCTATTCCTCCCTGCTAGGCTGCCCTGAGCGCTGGGCAATAATGGAAGCAACGGAGGGGGTGGGCATAGGCACTGTGCCTGTGCCCTGGAGCCTGTTCAACAGTCACACAGTTAATTACAGTTAATTACCTGATTGTGCTATGATTTGTACTATGAGGGAAAGGGAGGACCCTGTGGATTGCGGTGTGGGGCTGGGTAGCAGGGAACTCTTTCTGGAACAAGTGATATTTAAGGGGCGTCCTGCAGGATGGTTAAGTGTTGGCAGGTGGGTGCTGGGGAAGAAAGCACGCTACTCAGTGGGAACTTCTTAGGCGAAGGCCCCAGGTGGGAAGGTATTTGTAGCTGAGAAATGGAAAGCAGGCCAGAGTGGGTGGGCAGAGGATAAGGGGGCCACACAGGTTGGCAGGGGGTCAGCTCTCAGCAGCCACTTGGAGGCATTTCCATTGAGGGCATTTGGAAGCCATGGAAAGGATTTATTTAGTTAGTTAATTTATTTAGCCAGGCGCGGTGGCTCACGCCTGTAATCCCAGCCCTTTGGGAGGCCAAGGCAGGTGAATCACAAGGTCAGGAGTTCAAGACCAGCCTGGCCAACATGGCGAAACCCCGTCTCTACTAAAATTACAAAAAATTAGCTGGGCTTGGTGGCGGGTGCCTATAATCCTAGCTACTCGGGAGGCTGCAGGGAGAAAATTGCTTGATCCTGGGAGGTGTCTCAAAATTTTTGAGATGGAGTCTCACTCTGTCATCCAGGCTAGAGTGCAGTGGCGTGATCTTGGCTCACTGCAGTCTCCACCTCCTTGACTAAAGCAATCCTCCTGCCTCAGCCTCCCAAGTAGCTGGAATTACAGGTGCCCACTACCATGCCTGGCTAACTTTTGTATTTTTAGTAGAGATGGGGTTTCACCTGTTGGCCAGGCGGCTATCTATAACACCTGATCTCAAGTGAACTGCCCACCTCGGCTTCCCAAAGTGCTGGGATTACAGGCGTTAGCCACTGTACCCAGCCTACAGCCACAGAAAGGTTTTAAAAGCAGGGAGGTGGCCTGACTAGCTTTGGCTCCAGTGTAGAGAAGAGGTAGAAGGGCTCAAAAGCATATCTGAAGATGGTGGGTAGGAGGCATGACACTGGTGGCTGTTTGAGAGAAAGAAGGCCACAGGTAGTTAATGTCTCCTGGTGTGGAGGCCCTGGTCTGGTGCCTAGGCAGATGTAACTTCTGGCCCTGCTCCTTTCTGAAGGCCACCCAGGCCAGAAGGGCTGTCCCTGCCCCCTCCCCCACTTTTCCCTGACCAGAGGTGAGCCCCCTAGGGCATTGTGAGGCAAGCCTTGGAGCTCTGGGCATGCGGGGGCCTGGGAGGGCTCACAGAGCCCTGTCTTTCTGGCCCCAGACTTCAGAAGAAACACCTACAACAGGAGAAGGAGTGCCTCATGTCCAAGCTGGTGGAGGCTGAAATGGATGGGGCTGCAGCTGCCAAGCAGGTCATGGCCTTGAAGGATACCATCGGGAAGCTGAAAACGGTAGGTGGCAGGTGGGAGGACCCCAGCCATGGAACTGGCCCAGGGAGGGGGCAGCTGCAGGCTGGGCAGGGTCTTTACGCGTCATCAGGCAGACTTTATGACATCTTCAGGCTGGGGGAGGGCATGCTTAACTAGGCCTCCACCAACCACTCTCACTTCCCAGTCCTTGACCCTTGAAGATGACCTCTGGTCACCAGGGCCTCTAAGGAGACCTCATCATGGGTCACGTGGGATCACAGTGAGTCAAGGCATGTGGTTGATTCCTGCAAGTATCAGCCACCAGGTCTTGTCATCCTGCTTTGCTTCCTCCAGGAAGTCTGCCCTGACTGTGCTCACCTGCACTGAGCCCTCCCACCCCTTTCTCCACCTTTGCTCGGAGCAGGCTTAGCTCCTGCTTGTCCCTTTAGGTCCACCGCCTCCAGGAAGCCTGCCCTTGATCACCTTGGCACCGTACACAGCCTGTTTCTCCTTGTCTGGGCTTTCTGGCACCAGCCCTCTTGAGTGCCCATGGGGCCTGCTTCTTCCCTTCTTCCCCTGCATCTGTAAGACTGCCTGCTTGTCTTCCAGGAGAAACAAATGACCTGCACGGACATCAACACCTGACAAGGCAGAAGGAACTTCTCCTGCAGAAGCTGAGCACATTTGAGGAGACCAACCGCACCCTCCGAGACCTCCTGAGGGAACAGCACTGCAAAGAGGTGAGCTTGGGGTCCAGCTCTGTCCCTCCAGCCCCTCATGCCCGTCCTCTGAGCCTTTCTCTTTGTCTGTAAAAAGAAAGTAAGATTGGTGCCCAACCTGAGAGGGCCTTAGAGAGATGTAATGAAATCATTCACATGAAGTGCTCAGCCCCAGTAGACAAGTACTGTCTTAGATGGTGTTGAATCCGAGCCAGGAAGCACTGGAATGACCTTGAAAGTCAGGGAGGGGCAGTGGGGAGTCAGGGAGGGGTTCAGCCCAGGGCAAAGGAAAGAGAGTTCCAGACTTGAGCTTTTTATTCGGTAGGAGAATGATTAATGGCTGGCAGACATACATTGTGTGGTCTCATTTTGTTTTCTTAAAATATGTTCTCTGAGGCTGGGCATGGTGGATTACTTGAGGTCAGGAGTTTGAGAACAGCCTGGCCAACATGGTGAAACTCCGTCTCTACTAAAAAAAAACAAAAATTAGCCAGGTATGGTGGCATGTGCCTGTAATCCCAGCTACTTCGTAGGTTGAGGCAGGAGAATTGCTTGAACCCGGGAGGCGGAGGTTGCAGTGAGCTGAGATCGTGCCACTGCGCTCCAGCCTGGGTGACAGAATGAGATTCCATCACAGGAAAAAAAAAAAATTAGCCAGCCAGGTGTGGTGGTGGGCGCCAGTAATCTCAGCTACTCGGGAGGCTGAAGCAGGAGAATTGCTTGAACCCAGGAGGCAGAGGTTGCAGTGAGCTGAGATTGAGCCACTCCACTCCAGCCTGGGTGACAGAGCGAGACTCCATCTCAAAAAAGAACGTTGTCTGGGCTGGGTGCAGTGGCTCATGCCTGTAATCCCAGCACTTTGGGAGACCAAGGCAGGCGGATCACCTGAGGTCAGGAGTTCGAGACCTGCCTGGCCAACGTGGTGAAACCTCATCTCTACTTGAAAAATACAAAAATGAGCCTGGCGTGGTGACAGACGCCTGTAATCCCAGCTACTCAGGAGGCTTAGGCCAGAGAATTGCTTGAACCCACGATGTGGAGGTCGCAATGAGCCGAGATTGTGCCATTGTAATCCAGTCTGCGGGACAAGAGCGAGACTTTTCTTTTTTTTTTTTTTTTTTTTGAGACGGAGTCTCGCTCTGTCGCCCAGGCTGGAGTGCAGTGGCTGGGTCTCAGCTCACTGCAAGCTCCGCCTCCCGGGTTCACGCCATTCTCCTGCCTCAGCCTCCCGAGTAGCTGGGACTACAGGCACCCGCCACCTCGCCCGGCTAGTTTTTTGTATTTTTAGTAGAGATGGGGTTTCACCATGTTAGCCAGGATGGTCTTGATCTCCTGACCTTGTGATCCGCCCGTCTCGGCCTCCAAAAGTGCTGGGATTACAGGCTTGAGCCACCGCGCCCGGCCGAGGCTTTTCTTTTTTTTTTTTTTTTTTTTTTTTTTTTTTGAGACGGAGTCTCGCTCTGTCGCCCAGGCTGGAGTGCAGTGGCGCGATCTCGGCTCACTGCAAGCTCCGCCTGCCGGGTTCACGCCATTCTCCTGCCTCAGCCTCCCGAGTAGCTGGGACTACAGGCGCCCACAACCGCGCCCGGCTAATTTTTTGTATTTTTAGTAGAGACGGGGTTTCACCGTGGTCTCGATCTCCTGACCTTGTGATCCGCCCGCCTCGGCCTCCCAAAGTGCTGGGATTACAGGCGTGAGCCACCGCGCCCGGCCCCGACTTTTCTTTAAAAAAAAAAAAAAGTTGTCTGAACATTATATGTTAGCAAATACAGTCGACCCTCTGTATCTATGGGTTCCACATTCGTGGATTCAGCCAATTTGGATTGAAGATATTTGAAAAAAATTACATATTTACTGAACTCCTATAGACTGTTTTTCTTGATATCATTCCCTGAATCATATAACAACTATTTACATAGCGTTTACCTTGTATGAGGTATTATAAATAATCTAGAGATGATTTAAAGTATATGGGAGGAGGTACATAGGTATATACAAATACTGTGCCATTTTATATCAGGGATTAGAGCATCTTTGGATTTTGGTATCCACAGAATGTTCTAGAACCAGTCCTCCATCAATACCAAGGGATGACTGTATTTCTTTTCTTATTTTGATTGTCAAATAAAAATTAATGATGTACAACATGTTTTGACATGTACACAATGTAGAATGGCTAAATCAAGGTAATCAACATATGCATTGCCTCACATACTAAGATATTTGTGGTGAAAACACTTAAAATGTTCTCTTAGCAATTTTCAAGTATATGGATCAGTAACTATAGTCACCATGTTGAACAATTTCTCCTTGTCTAACTGAAATCTTACATCCTTTGACCAATATTTCCCCAATGCCCCCCAATTCCATCTCTGGCAACCAGCATTTTCTGCTTCTGTGAATTCGACTTTTTTTTTTTTCTTTTTTGAGATGCAGTCTTGCTTTGTCACCCAGGCTGGAGTGCAGTGGCACGATCTTGGTTCACTGCAAGCCTCCACCTCCCGGGTTCAAGTGATTCTCCTGCTTCGGCCTCCCAAGTAGCTGGGACTACAGGCGTGCACCACCATGCCTGGCTAATTTTTGTATTTTTAGTAGAGACGGGTTTTGCCATGTTGGCCAGGCTGGTCTCGATCTCTTGACCTTGTCATTCGCCCGCCTCAGCCTCCCAAAGTGCTAGGATTACAGGTATGAGCTACCGCGCCCGGCCAAGTTCGACTTCTTTAAGTTCCACATACAAATGAAGTCATGTGGTCTTTCTGTGCCTGGTTTATTTCACTGAGTATAATGTCCTCTAGTTTTTTGTATGTTGTGAAAGGATTTCCTATTTGAAGACTCAGTAGTATTCCATTGTGTATCTCTACTGTGTTTTCTTCATTCATCTGTTGATGGACACTTAGGTTGATTCCGTATCTTGGTGAATAATATATTAGCAAATATTTCAGAAAAGACTGACAGTATAAACGGTTGTCTTCCTGTTTGGTTCAAAGCAAAGAGATGACAATAGTCTCAAAATGCCAGTACTAATGAAATGGTGACATTTTTCTTATTTTTGTTTTTTTTTTTTTTTTGAGAACGAGTTTTGCTCTTGTTGCCCAGGCTGGAGTGCAATGGTGTAATCTTGGCTCACTGCAACCTCCACTAACTGGGTTCAAGTGATCTTCCTGTCTCAACCTCCCTAGTAGCTGGGATTACAGGTGCATGCCACCACACCCGGCTACTTTTTGTAGTTTTAGTAGAGACGGCGTTTCATCATATTGGTCAGGCTGGTCTTGAACTCCTGACCTCAGGTGATCCAACTGCCTCGGCCTCCCAAAGTGCTGTAATTACAGGCATGGGCCACCACGCCAAGCCCTTTTTTTTTTTTAAACATTGTCAACCTTATTTTTATCTTTATTTATTATTTTTTTTTCTTGAGACAGAGTCTTGCTCTGTCACCTGGGCTGGAGTGCAGTGACACGATCTTGGCTCACTGAAACTTCCACCTGCTGGGTTCAAGCAATCCTCCTGCTTCAGCCTCCTGAGTAGCTGGGATTACAGGTGCATACCACCATGCCCAGATAATTTTTGTTTTTAGTAGAGATGAGGTTTCACCGTGTTGCCCAGGCTGGTCTTGAACTCCTGAGCTCAAGCAGTCTGCCTGCCTCCGCCTCCCAAAGTGCTGGGATTACAGGCATGCACCACCACGCCCAGCCTTATCTTTAAAAATTAATAATTGGCTGGGTGCAGTGGCTCATGCCTGTAATCTCAGCACTTTTGAGAGGCCGAGGCAGGTGGAACATATGAGGTCAAGAGTTCGAGATCAGCCTGGCCAACATGGTGAAACCCTGTCTCTACTAAAAATACAAAAATGTGGTGGGCACCAGTAATCCCAACTAATCAGGAGGCTGAGGCAGGAGAATTGCTTGAACCTAGGAGGGGGAAGTTGCAGTGAGCCTAGATCGTACACTATACCCCAGCCTGGGTGACAGAGCGAGACTCTGTCTCAAAAAAAAAAAACCCACTAATATATAAAATAAGGCCGAGTGTTGTGGCTCACGTCTGTAATCCCCACACTCTGAGAGGCCGAGGGGGAGAATTGCTTGAGGCCAGGAGTTTGAGACCAGCCTGGGCCACACATGAGACCTCATCTGTACAAAACATTTTAAATTTAGCCAGGTGTGGTGGCGCACACCTTTGGTCCTAGCTCTTCGGGAGGCTGAGGTGGGAGGATCTCTTGAGCCCTGGAGGTCAAGGCTACAGTGAGCTGTGATTGTGTCACTCAGGCTGAGTGACACAGTGAAAGTATCTAAAAAAAAATTACATATGTATGTAAAACAAGTAATG